TTTCACTTCCTTTGATGCTCCTTAGTAGTTTTGTTAAGTCTTACCCTGTAATGTTTTGCTTTTAATTTTGATACCTCTTTATGACTTAACAATAAAAAGGATGTATGGTTTTTATCAGCTGTCTCCAAAATAATCTCTTGTCATGCAGGGAGTACAGTTCTTTTTCCATTCATAACATAAGTTAAGTAGTTGCTTCCCTAACTGCAAAGGCAATCTCATTTAGTTAAAGTAGCACCTAAGAGCAGCTTTGAGTTAGAAGTATGTGTTATACCCCATGTAAGAGTGCTAATGTGGGGCAATTCAACACAAATGTAACAATGTATTTTTGTGAATGAGAGTCGGCATGTCAAATGCATCCTTTAGAAAAATAATTAGTGTAATAGTCTTAAGATTTGTTTTCTAAAGTTGATACTGTGGGTTATTTTTGTGAACAGCCTGATGTTTGGGACCTTTTTTCCTCAAAATATAAGTCCTTATTAAACCAGGAATTTGGAGAAAAAAAACCCTGGTTTTTTATTTTTGTATAATTGTTTCGAATTCTTTTACAGCGGCCTCCACAAAATTCTTAGAGTGTACTAGATATATTGTACTTGGAGTCATAAACATGCATACCAGCATACACATTTATTTCATTAAGATGCTTGTTGGATTAAGGAGTCAAGTAATGACGTGGAGTGAAGATTCTTAGGCAAAAGGACTTTTTTCATCCTAATGAAAAGTCGAGAACAATGTTCTGCCTTTCATCAGTGCTTTGTGAATAGCTGAAACTCTGTAAGGTTTTTGTTTGCTAAGTCATTTTTTCCTTAACTAGAGGAGTTTCACATGCATTAAGCATTTAAGCTTTCAGGAAAATTGAAACAATAAATCTATCTTCAGTTTGTCCTTTTAGTTAGTATTTTATAGTCCAGTTACTTCTGGATTCTGACCATGGCCACAATGTTGCTGAAAGTAGGAACACTTTCATTTCCTGATACTCTGTAGTTAGCCTTCCTGTTGAGAAGTAGTGAGGGTTATACTTTTTGTACATTAAGTGATCTTTTACCTATGTGAACTTACTAATTTTTGTATTTGCCCTCCAACTTGATTAATTGCAGTGACTTAGTAGGCATTGTAGCATTTAGCTCCCCAATCTTCTAAAGAAGGATTAAACAGCTGCCAGAGTTGTGATGCTTATCAGTCCTGAAAGGCCTGGTTCATTTGTGGTTTTTATACATTTTCTAGAATTGCAGAAAAAAACATGGTGGTTATTTTTAAGAACGGTAGCCCTGGGTTCCTTAGAAAGGTGCTATATTACTTGGTAGCATCTAGTACTGGCATTTTTTTGCCATCCTATTGGCTATGATAGTCGTATCACATCATTTTATACAAAAGTAACAAAGCACAATTAAAGGAAGAGGTTATATGATACATAAACATCTGGCAGGTGACCCATGACTAGAACAATCTGTATGTTTAGAAGAAGTTGTTACAGAATTAAGATACCAGTAAAACTGTTTGATATTATGGTATTTACTTAGTTTTTGGAAAATACTGACCAGTTAACACAGAAATGAGAATGTCTATTTTTTCTTCTTTTAACTTTAGCTCCTCTTTGTGCAGAAGAGTATATTTAGCTTATTGTGTTCTGGTCTGTCCCTGGTATCCGTGGGAGAATGGTTCCAGGACCACACAGACACCCACCCACCCATGAATACAGAAATCTGTGGATACTCAAGTCACTTATAAAATGGTGTAATATTTACATATAACATAAGCAAATCCTCCTGTATACTTTTAAATCCTCTCCATATTACTTAACAATACCTAATACAATGTAAACACTATGTAAATAGTTGTGACTGCATTTTTTATTTTCATTTTCTTTATTGGTTTTTGTCTTTTCCCCCCTCCCTTTGACTATTTTCAATCCACAGTTTGAATCCATGGATTGCAGAACCCACAGATACAGAGGACCAACTTTACTTTGTAGAAAAAGGCATGATCCCACACATTGAAAATCTATATACATGTGTGAGAATTTAGGCTGAAATACTAAGAAGCATCTACTTTGTCTTGAATGGGAAGACTCATTTCACACTTTAGGTTTCAGGCAGCTGTGAATTCAGTTTCCTCTTGTAACTGGGAAAGTAAGACTCAAGGTGTCCATAATCATGGATATACTCAGTTTTGATGCTGTGAAATTCAGGTTCCTGTGTCAAAACTGTAGTAAGTAAAGATAACATTGTTGAAATATACCATGTGGTAGAATTCCATTTGAAATCTGATCATATGCAAATAAGTACTTTTTTTTGGTGGGGGGGGAGACTATCAAGCTGTTGCCCTGGTTAGAGTGCTATGGCATCATAGCTCACAACAACCTTCAGTTTTTGGGCTCAAGTGAGCCTTTTGGCATCAGTTTTTCAAGTTCTAGTAGAGACGGGGTCTCGCTTTTGCTTAGGCTGGTCTCGAACTCGTGAGCTCAAGCAGTCCACTTGCCTTGGCCTCCCAGAGTGGTAGGATTACAGGCATGAGCCACTGTGCCCAGCTAGTATACGGGTTTTTTTTTTAATTGAGCTAATGTTCTTAAAGGCCATGGATCAGATGGTAAGCTTACATTCATTGTGATATAAGAAAATAATCCTAGTAATTTGTAAGTATACACTCTACAGTCAGGATGACTGGGTAGCAGGAGAGAGGTGGATAATCAGAAAAGTCTTTGGAACATTTCTTTTTGATGGTATGTGATATCTTAATAGGGAAAGTACTTTGGAGCCCATTGGCTTAGGATACTTTATCTAATTTGCTACTGCCTCTCCTGAGTGTACCGAGCTAATTGAAGGTGTCTGGTGGGGAGTGGATGATAGATTTGTTGGAGTGCTTGAAAAGCGGACTCCACTAGATTTCAGTTTACATGTTACCCTAGTGTCAAAGATGGTGCCAGTTGTGTTTTAAAGTATGTTTTTTTAGATGGAACTGGGTATAATAGAAAAGGAAAATGATACAAAGAGCAACATAAAAGATGATAAATTAGAAGGGAATATTCTGGGCAAAGTGAACCTTGAGAAAAATGTAATGGAAGAAGTAGGGTAAATCTAACTGTTAAAGCCATAGGATGACCTTAAAGTGTCAATAAAGAAGTCTACTGGGTAACATTGTGTTATTTTAAAGAATTAGAAGAAGCAGGGCGGTGCCCGTGGCTCAAAGGAGTAGGGTGCTGGCCCCATATGCCGGAGGTGGTGGGTTCAAACCCAGCCCCAGCCAAAAACTGCAAGAAAAAAGAAAGAATTAGAAGCAAAGTTCACTGTATAAAGAATTGGATTAGATGACAGACTATACTCAACAAGTACTCTTGAGGTAATTTAGAGGAAAACAATATCCTTTGACATCTGAATTGGGAAGTGGTGTGTATTTAATGAGATTATTTGAAAGGTACACTTTTCTGGAAACAAATGGCTGGCCTGTGATAACATTTACTAATGATGTACTAATTTTTATTTTCAGGAAGGCATTCAGGAAATACTGTTAATGACTTCCATTCTGTGGGAGACTAAGGGTCTTTCTTGGTCATATACTCTTTAAGGAAAATTAAGCTAATGTCAGGTGGAGTTTTAATTTCTGGACTCTTTCAGATTATCTTTTCCAAAATATGCATTTCATTTGAGTTTAGAAGACATCTATGAAAAAATATCTACATAACTCAAGGAAACCATTTGATAATAGTAAATCTATGACACAGAAATGAGTGACCAGTAAGTTAATTATGTGTAGGCTATGACATAAGCTTATAGGACCCTCGCTTTATTGATGCTGTGTCTCACCCAAGACATACTGTGGTGTTTATTATAATATGGAGCACTATGTTGTAGCATTTTAGTTTGTGGAAGGATCTTGGGATAAATTAAAAATTGCCAGTTACAGTACAGAGTAAAAGGTGAACACAGACATATACCTGACCAGATAAAAGTTGTCTAATGTTTTTTTAAAATAATACTTTATTTATTTTACAAGGTAGAATCAACAAAGACAATTCAAGGGGGGACCAAATGGGTAGATGACTGAAAAGTGATTTAATGTTAAAAAGGAAACTAAATTTAATTGTGGTGAGAATCTCTCCCTACTGCTTACATTAGAACTACAAAGCATAATGAGGAGGTAGGTTAGTGTAACAGTGTGAGTGCAAAATGACAAGGAGTTGAAGCTGAAGATGGATGTGAGTGTGGCATGTAGTTCTTATTTCCATTTCTAAGCATATGAGTGTTTTTCAGGTGACGTACAGAAATAAAGTTTTTAAGGAAATGTGTCCTTGAAGGTCTGACACAAAATTTTGTGTGGCAAATAACTCCTAGGGTCTTTTACACATCTAGAAAAGTTATAATTAGGATAATTAGGCAGTATATTATCAAATTTGAGTGGTCTGTCCTTAACTATGGATGTGTGTTATTTAACCTAGGGAAAGCTCCCTGTCGTGCTGGTGCACACTGCGAACTATCTCTGGACTAATTTTCAAGTTGACATAATTTAACTTTGTACCCAGATAGAAAAGCACTGTACCAACCAGGAAAACCTATCCTCTGAGGAATGTGGCTGGAGAAGGCTTTCAATGGGTATTGTCTCAGTGGTTGACTTGGGAGGTACATGGTAAAAGGATACACATAGATATGTTGAATGTTAAATGAGAAAGAGGAAATGGTGGCTGGTTATGATTTATTAAAATGCAAAATGCAGCTGAAAGGGCCAACACCATACCTGTATAGATAATCTGTTACAAAGGTGGTACCTTAGGAAGCATCTGGCTAGGTGAGAAGAAAGTTAGGATAGAGGGAAGGAAACCATTTTTGTCTCTATTTTTTTTAACTTTAGATAAAAAGTTTTGAATATCTTGCAAAAATTACTTGGTACTGTACTGTGACTATA